GTTTTTTGAAAAACAGACCTTTTTCTGGTTTTGCTGTGAACGTTCGTATGTTTTAATTAATTCAGTGCAGTTGATAAAATGCTCCATTGGCTCCCAGGTACATTCGCTTCTGAAACTTCTTTTCAAATGTTCAAAACTGAGTACCAGAATGCTCAGTATATGAAAACTTAATTACTTTTATGATTTGTCCCCTGGAGCAAGGACAACGTTGCAGAACAACTCTGCCCCTGTACAAATTTTCCTAAGTTAACCTACATTATATTAGCAACACTGTGACTATCTACGAAATTACTAGGAACCCTTGGACAATCAAAACGAAAATCGGGCTTGGGGCAACAACAGTAGCAATTTATAGGAATTTTGCTTGTGGCTGGGAATGATACGAAATCTCTAAGACCAACACCGGATAATTCTTCCATTTCACGTGATAGAAACGCTGGCCGCCAGTGACCTTCGAGTCAAGAATGCTTTCCACTTCGAACACACCAACATCCTCACGTTTTGCCATCTCTGCAACACAAGCACAGTGCCATTTTTTGGAAACAAATATCCCATCGGAACAAAATACTACGGTCTGAGATTGCGCAACAATATATCGCACGCAACTGGCAATCGCTGTGGATTCAAAAGAACTAGCATGAAATTTGCACCGGGCACCCTTGTTCCACTGCTCTATCCTGTCCCCAATCCTCGCTAACACGGCGATACCTTAGCATACCCGCTAACCATCAGCCCCTAACGCCCCCGCCCCCTTCCCCCGGTCCCTCTAACTTTCGGCAACTACCACAAAAAGCAAGACGAGTATCATTTGACAGAATAAATAACCGAACAAGCCCACTGATACCGAAAGAGGTCTTCGGGTTGCAATTACTGACCTGGACTGGCCCGGCCTCGCCCACTGGTGTCGAAACAGGCAATTCACCAAACACTGACTCGGTTTGGCGTCGCCAACTAGTGTCGAAGCAGCTTTTCGGGCGTCGTTCCCCGAGACCTGGCTCGGCCCGGCTTTGCCCACTGGTGCCGAAAGAGTTACCAGAACTGCTTCGAAAATCTGTTTCGGCACTAGTGGGCCAAGACCAGGCCGAGCCGGTTCATTGTAAAATTGCCCACCAAGGATTTGCTCGGCACCGGTGGTAATTATTTGCAGCTAAAATTAATGTTTATAAAATCATACTGCTTTATGCATAATTTGTTTGAAATACACGGGAATTTTATGTAAATAGCAAA